TTCAATTAGCTGCAAGAAACATTTTCAAACCAGTTGAAGATAAAACCGTATTCGGTACAACTGCAAAGCTTGTAGTTAGTCACGGTCTTAACGGTACTAATAGGGTTGTTGCTGGTAGATTAAGTGATTTGCAGATTGGTACTGATGGTGCTGGTGATGCTGAACAAGCTATTATCAGATTTAGTACTGAAACCAACCTTACATATATGGACTTCCATTATGCTTTGGGTGTTGCTGTAATCTTCGCAAATCAATTTGTATTTGCAACAGTTTAATTACTGCTTAAAATAATAATATTAAAAGGGTGGTTAATCACCACCTTTTTTACAAATAAAACATTAATAAAATGGCGTGTGATTCAATTATTGCGTTGCTTAGGGGTTGTGCTGAAGGGGTTGTGGCTGGTGTGGAAAAATTCTACATTGTCGCATTCAATGACCTTAGTGCATCAACAGTAACACAAAAAACATATAGTGCAGATACAAGCGGTACTACTCAGGCAATTTACTTGGATGCCGGTAAAAAATTCGTTGAAGTGGAACTTTTAAAATCAACTTCAGGTTTAAAGGATACTGCAACAATTGACCCTTCTAAAGGTCTTAACTTCTTTACTCAGTCTTTTACATTGGTATTGGGTGACTTGACTTCAGAAAATTATCAGTTTGTACAATCAGTTAAGGGGCAACCTGTAGCTATGTTGTATAAAACAAGAACTGAAAAATGGTTTGCAATCGGTCTTAATGGCCAGTTAATTGCAAAAAGTATTGAAGGTGGTACAGGTACTGCTGAAAACGATGCAATTGGTTATACACTAACCTTTGAAGGTATCAGCAAAACACCAGCACCAATTGTAAATACAAGTATAATTTCTTCTTTAATCTAAAGATTTCTTTCATAGTACAACAAGCCCTGTCTTCCAAGACGGGGTTTTTTGTTGGTATAGGGGTGAAGGGGTATTGATATGATACCAACCACATACTTATAAAGTATGACAATACTAGTAGATGATACCACAACCAATACCCGAATACTTGTTACCCTGACTGAAGAAAATGCAGTTACAACAGGAAGTACATTGAACCTAGTGAATCCATTTACTAATGTTCATACCCAGTTTATATTACCTGTTGATTCAAGCCCTTATCCAGCCAGATATAATGAATTCATATTACCAACATCAACCTTCAGCGGTTTAAGTATTGGAACTTATCAATTCAGTATAAAGGATTCAACCAGTGCAACAACTGAAACTGGATTATTGAAAGTGGTAAGGAAGGTGGCAACAGCTGAACAGGAAGTTGCTGATAACTATATAACACCTGCTGATGGTGACAATGATTTTATTGTATATCAGCCGTAAAAAATACCTATGGAAAACGAAAAAAATATAATGGCTTTTGATTTTGCAAATCAGAATATTCCCTTACCAACTGAATCTAGGAACACTTCAGAAAAAACCTTTGTTACTTGGGGTGGTGTTGGTGATTATTACAACAATCCGCAATTCGGCTTTAATGCTGATGGCTTCAATGGGTATACTAATCTTTATCCAAACTTCCTTTTACACTTATACAGGGATAGCCCAACGCACGGTGCAATTGTCAATCAGAAGGCTAACTATATTGTTGGTAATGGTCTAAAGCTGGATGGTAAGGATATTGATGTAAAGGTTAATCCATCAGAAACATTATCTGAATTTGTAAGTAAGGTGGTATTGGATTATATATTATTTGGAGCTTTTACCATTGAAACTATCTTCAATATTGCTAATGAACCAATAGAATTTCACCATGTTCCCCTTCATAAGTTCAGGATGAATGTACAAAAGGATTTATTTTTTTATTCTAAGGATTGGCGTCATTACAAATATCAGAACACTTTTGAAAGATATAATCCAAGCAATAATCAGGATAGCAACAGCAAGATTTTCTTTTATGATGGTTATTTTCCATCAGAAAACAATGTTTACCCAACCCCTGAATATAAAAATATTATCAGACCGATAACAACTGATATTGCAATTCAGGAATTCAACTTGAATAACATAAATAATCATTTTAGTCCAAGTACAATAATTACTTTCTTTAACGGGGGTAATGTAAGTGATGCAGTAAAAAGGCAAGAAGCAGCTAATATAAAAAATACCTATACAGGTCAAAACGGGGCTAAAATAGTTTTAGAATGGCAAGCAAAGGATGGTAAGGGTTCTGAAGTAAAACCCCTTAGCGCTGGTGATTGGGATAAGGCTTTTACTGAGATTGCAAAGAATGTTAAGGATACTATTCTTGAAGGCCATGAAGCACCACCTTCATTATTCAATATGAAAACAGCCGGTGCGATTGGTAACAACCAAGAAATGGCTAACAATTACAAGGCTTTTAAGGATAACTATATTGCTGTTAAGCGTTCACAGATTGAATCAGCATTGATGCAGTTATTCAGCCAATTTGCACCCCTTCAAGGGAAATTGGAATTCAAGGATAAGGAAACATTCAAGCAGGAAATTGATAAGAACAAGCTATCTGTTATTTAACCATTGATGAATTAAGGGCAATGGATGATTTACCACCATTACCAAACGGGGCTGGTGCTAGGTTATTAAATGATGTGAATGCACCAGTGGCGAAGCCTCAAGCAGCCCCTGCAAATCCTGCAACCCAACCAGCACCAGTACAACAAGCTGAAGCAGATGCTGAAGCTGAAAAAAAAAAGGGTATTAGGAAGCTAACCGCTGAAGATTATGAACAGGTTAAGC